ACATTTGTGCTCTCTCTCTCTCTCTCTCTCTCTCTCTCTCTCTCACACACACTCTCACTCACACACACAGAGTGTACAGAAGCAACTAAAACTGAATGTTCACAGGGCCTTGGGTAGGGTTAGGAATATTGCTGTCTTTTTTTTTTTTGGACTTTCAAATGCTCTGATTTCAGGGAACTTAAAAACATACATATTGTTTGTCTTTCCACCATGGATTCAAAGAATCTCCATTGGGCTGGGGAAGGTTCTGTATCGAAGTTCCAGCCTGAAGAAAAAAGACTTTAGGAGGAAGATGACTTTTATTTCCTTTATTTTAGTTAATACTGAACAAGGAACTTGGAGGAAAATGACTTTTCTGAGCTTCTGTACCACTGTCACAGTACAGGTGTGTTATCAAAAAAGTCAAAGAAATGGCAAGAAAACTCATTCCTTACCATGCTCTCTCCTGACACCCTTTATTCCTCAGACTCCTAGAGAAATCAAAGAAGAAATAATTTACTTAGATCTACTGTTACTATTGTATGTTTGTTGTGCTGCTTCAATGCTACAAGGAACAATCTGTGGAATTTCAATCACATAAAAACAAAGCATAAATATAAGATAAGAATTGAGCTGCCTAAGTGCAAAACAATGTGTCATTGCCAGCACATTCTGGCATCAGCTTCAGGAGGTGAGTGTGAATAAAAAATCCCTGATCTTCCATTAGTCAATTTTCTGATCTCGCCCATTGCAAACTAATCTACCACTGATCATGATAGGTAAAATCAAGGGAATACCCACTAAGTCAGTGGCCTGAGCTGCCCCATTATATGTCATCATATTGTTGTGGTCATGGCAACATCCCAAGCATGTTATGAGAAGTACTAGATAGAAGGATAGTTCCATGGAACACCTAGGAGTGTAAGTTTATATCTACCCTTGGTTCTTACAGGACTGGGGGCAATATCCATCCCCAGCATTTTCTTATTTTAGATCATTTATTACTTAAACTGAATAACAGGAAAAAGGTAAAATGAAACAGAAAAGAAACAAAATAAGCATATCCAATTAATAATGAAATGAGTTAATATGTAGATTAATTGGATGATTTAATGTTGGGTTAATCAAGTAAATCACTATATCAAAACAATTCTGATAAGAATTAACAATCTGGGAGATGGCCTTCCATTTAGGTATCAGCCCAAATATTGGGCCATTAGGCTGTTTAATTTAACTTGTATTCCTGTCAGAATCTTTGTACAAAGGGGAGCACACCACGCTGCTAAATTCTACCAAATTGCAAAAACAAACAAACAAAAAAATACACTATTTGAAAATTACCCAATATAATAAATAGATAAAACTAGAAGTGAAATCATACAAAAAACAATGGCTCACACTTCTGTCTATGTATACATAGGAAAGCCCCTTATTCTAAAGACTTCTGCTTTTTACACTTTGATGCTCAGTGGCTTAACTTTACACAGAACCTCTAGCACAAACATCTAGGGAAAGTCAAAAATGTCTTACTTTTAAAATCATGATCTGAGGGTTCCGTTTTTTGCTAGACAGGTCTCTGGGTCTCACAATGTTATGGGGAAGTAGTCCTTTCCTGTGTAGTAAACTTTTAAGTGGATTGTGTTTTTGAAAGCAATGTAATGTTTGCTGATAACTATGATTGGTGCTTTGTCAGTGTTAGCTTTTAAGCTTTGTTCTGGTCTGCTTAATTTTTTGAAATAACTTATTTGATTAAGTGATGCCTTACCACTAAGAACTTGGCTGGCTGTGTGCTGATAGCTCATTTCTCTCTCTTTCTCTCGTTCTTTTTTAATGTACGGCTTGTGCTTTTTTCACTTGCTTGGTCTTATTTTATCATTAGAATTATAAATTTGTAGTTTAGATTCAAACCTAATTATTTTTCTTTCTCTTTCTTTTTTTAGGCTATCTCCTAAGGAACATGAGCAGGCTCAACAGCTACAACACCAGACCTATCTGTTCAGATAAAGCTGGTCTTAGGGAGGAGGTAGGTGGCTCTGGTTTGTTACCTAATCCATTCCTAACATTCTGGTGGAATAACCTTGTAGAAGCTGAATACATCCTTGGGGAGGGGGGGGGGGGATGGTCACCATTAAATATATGGCTGTATAGTAAATGTAATGGAGTTAATTGCAGATGCCCTGCTCCATCAATGAAACTTGTTTGGATGCATCCCTGCATCTGAAATGGAATCTCATTGATTTCTGAGGCCTTTAAGAGAATGGGAGCAAGCCTATGATATACACAGTTCCCCCTGCATTGCAGAGCATCTGAAGTCAGTGAGGTAGAGACACGGTTTAGAGTGGTCTCCACTTACTCAGGAATCAGTTGCAGACTGAGGTAAAAGCTCCAAAAGAGCCAATGAGTAGTGAGTGTGAAGGTAGCATCCCCTGACAGCTCCCCATATTTGTTTTGGCTAGAGTGAAGGGTTTGTGTCACAAATTATCACCGATCCAACTTTCACTGAAGTGAAAGGAAAGATTCTGATTTACTTTAATGGGATTTGGATCAGACCCCATAGGAGGGATAAAGACCTATTTCAGTATCTAGTCAATAGGGGGTCCCCAGACCATTTGAGATTAGCAACACAAAATGATACTATCAGGATCAGCAACTAGAATTAGCAGAGGACTGGTGATCTAGAAAACAGGGTGAATGATGAATGAAGCAACACTTAGGTCAGGGGTCAGTAACCTTTGGCACGCAGCTCGCCAGGGTAAGCACCCTGGCGAGCCACGTGCCAAAGGTTGCCAATCCCTGACTTAGGTTAAAGATTAAACAAAGAAAATGAACTTCAGAGGGGACCCAATAATAAAGATACACTAATGGTCAGCACAAAGACAAATGAATGCAATGCAAATTGGAAGGATTTATTTGAACTGCTGATAGACATTGCTGGGCTTTAAATCATCTCTAATCAGTCAGGTAACAGACATGGGTTTCATTGTGGACAGCTCTCCAAAAACATCTACTCAGTGCACAGATGTAGTCACAAGAGCTGACAAAATTTCAGGATTTATGAAATCTTAACATGTAATGCTACTAAAAATATTAAAATGCCATTATGAAAATCACTGGTCCATTTTCCTGGTTAACTGTTTTCCATGCTGGTCACCTCATCTCATAAAAAGTAAAAGCAGAAAAAAGGTGACAGGTGACAAAATGGTTAAAGGTACAGAAAGACTTTGATACGTTGAGACTGCAGAAATATGGGGCTGTTTAATTCAGAGACATGTAGAAGGGGAGTTGATAGAGATATACAAAATAATTAATGGTATGGAGAAGGTAATTCAAGCATTCCTAATTTCACTTTCTCAAAATACAAGAACAAGAGATTTCTAATAAAACCTGAAGGTATCAAATTTATAATAATAATAATAATGAAATTGACCTGTGGAACTCATTGAGACATGACATTGCTGAGGCAAACAGCAGAGCTAATCAGATGAAAACTTTCTTCACTGGCATTTGCCAATTTGTCAAAATCAAAAGTGCTGAAGGAACCTGGTTTTCCAGGTTCATATCATCTTAACAGCCCATGCTCTCCACTGGCTTCCTGGTTGCTCAACACCCCACCTGGTGGCCTGAGACAGAGCGGAGAGCTTAGAAGCCAGGAAGCCTTGGAATTCCAGCTCCCAGGCTCCAGTTCCTCAGCAGCCTGTCTCACAAGGATATCTCTACACAGCAATTAAAGACTCGTGGCTGACCTAAATCAACTGACTCAGGATTATGGGGCTTGGGCTGTGGAGCTATTTAACTGAAGTGTAAATATATAGGCTCAGGCTGGAGCCTAGGGTCTGGGATCCTGCAATAGGGGAAGGTCCCAGAACTAGGACTTCCTTCCAACCTCAAATATCTACACTGAAATTGTACCCCCTTGCAGCCCAAGCCCCATGAGCCCATTTCAGCTGACCTGGGCCAGCCATGAGTATTTAATGGCTATGTAGACATATCCCTAGGGTCCATGGCTCCAGGAAAATCTGCCATGTTGAGAGCCCCTGAATCAGGGACCCTAAGGCTTCCAGGGCCCTTGGCTCTAGGGCAGCCTTCCAGGTAGACTGCCTTGGAGTCAGAGCCTTTAATGGAGAATGTCAACATTTTGGCCTTGTGTCATTCAGAACAGAACAAAATTTTGAAATAACTAAAGCCTCTATGGCATGGAATTTCCTTTCTCTGCCTGGCTCCAGCCAAGAGTTCCGAAGAATTCAATAAAGGATTGGACATTATATGGATAGTGAGAACATAGATAGCTACATTAGATATTATTTGTAGAAGGAACATGCACCTTCATGATTTAGGACATAACCCAACCACTAAACTGATGGGGATTAGAAAGAAGCTCCCCTTTTACTCCATAATTGTCCATTATGTGCATCATTGTAATTTCCTTCTTTTTGGTGAGATGAATCAGTGGTCTGATCAGGTATGTCAGCTCCTGATTGCTGACATTTATACTAACAGTGTCCACCCCAGCAATGTCAGGTCACTTCTCTGACAAAGATGGAAGGGTGGTATGGAAGAAAAATTGCCATTTCTCATCACCGAAAACTGGAATAAAAGGATACCTAATTGATTTTTCAAAATAAGGGACTTTGTTACTTTGAAAGCCATACAATATCTTTACTGAATTCACTGGAAATATGTATCTCAGTTTCCAAGGTAACCGCACCTCTAAGCCCTTTGTGGCTTGCTTGAGAGCACTGCTCTCTGGCTTATAGTCAGCACTTTTCTTGGGTCAGGAACCCAACTTCTTCTCTCTCCAGAATGGGGACTTAGGCTGCAATTCCTCCTGCTTTTCACTGTGATCACTTTAGCAAATTGAAGTTTAGTTCAGCATCTTCTGTCTCGTTCTCACTCGGGGGAAAAACAGTGTTAGCCAAAAGACCGTCCATAGTGGGTCAGACCAAAGATCCATCTAGCCCGGTATCCAGTCTTCTGACAGTCGTCAACGCCAGGTGCCCCAGAGGGAATGAACAGAATGGGTAATCATCAAGTGATCCACTCCCTGTCGCTCAGTCACAGCGTCTGGCAAACAGAGGCTAGGGACACCATCCCTGCTCATCCTGGCTAATAGCCATTGATGGACCTATCCTCCATGAATATATCTATTTCTTTGTTGAACCCTGTTATAGTCATAACTTCCTAAAGTATTTATTCACACTAAAGCTTTATGCTTTTCAAGATATATTTTCTCTGCAAAGAGATTATAAGCATGCCTGGCTTACCAGGTATCACCCATCTTCCACACGGTGACCCTGGCATGTTTCAAAGTCTTGCAAATCTTTTCTGAAGAGTCTGACCCTCCTGTCCAGCCTCATGCCAGTTCTTAGATCAGGTGGTAGTGACTCCTTCTCTGTATCAGGCTAGTCTCCGTTCTTTGTTTTGTAGCCTTCTTCAACCAGTGGAAGCCAAGATATGCAATTTCCTGGGGGTGGGGGTGCACCTCTCCAGACTCTTCTACCTACCTAGGGATATGCATGTGTTACTTACACACACACACACACACACACACACACACACACACACACACACACACAGTATTTTAGTTTATTACAAGTCTTAGTGTACCTTCCCTTCCTAGTTACTGTCGTTGTCTTGTTCTTAGTTT